TCGTAAAAGGAAACCACACATAACTTCCAGAATCATCTAGTTTCGGAGCAGCGCCATGAGGATCTGACTTTGCAATGTTGGGGCGAAGTTGACAAAGACGTCTGTGCCGATGGAAGGCTACATGGGCGGTTGTCAGCATTATGATCCCTTTTGAGGTACCCTAAATATTAGGTGCCGCTTTATAGTAGGGATCCAAAAAGGGACCATAATTCATGTTGACAGCCACCCACATGAGAGCAAGCTGAAATCCGTGCAACCCCGCTCCCGAAGACGGTGCAAACTCGAAGTCCAAAGCCGGGCCTGATGTAGGTAGTCTCCACTTTCCGCGACGCCAGGGAGTTCGACAGCACCTCGGCGCATCTGCTGCGGCTCCCTCCACAAGCAAGGGCGTTGGGTTCAAGGAGTTCAGGGTTCAGGGGTTAGGGTTCAGGGGCTTAGGGCCGTGCACTTCCGGTCAAAGGGGCTGAGGGGGCTACGATTATAGAGATGCCTGGGGTTTCGGGCACTTTTTTACTGTCCGGCTGCAGGGTTTAAGGATTCTCTTACAACTAGGGTTTAGGGTTTAGGGTTTAGGGTTTAGGGTTTAGGGGCCTGGGGTTGACCTGATTCCCTTACTCCGTTTTGAACGGACGCGCGCGAAACTTCGCGCATGGGGCCGCGGCATATGGGGAGCCGCCTCCCGGCTGCCAGAAGCCGCGATGCGTCACCCTGGCGGCAAAAAATCCGATTGCGGAGCCCACCGCAAGGCGGTTTAGGGTTTGGGGTTTAGGGTTTAGGGTTTAGGGTTTAGGGTTTAGGGTACCAAAGCCCTTCTTGCCGTTGGGTGGTGGATGCAGGGATGTCAGGAAATTTACAAGTTTAGGGTTTCAGGGTGTGCTACCCCTCTCCTCACCCTTGAAGCGGCCCCCCCTTTTCCCACAGGGTTTAGGGTTTAGGGTTTAAGGTTTAGGGTTTAGGTTTGAGGGTTGAGGGTTTAGGGTTGCAAGCTCGACGGAGGGGCTCGATCCAGGCGTCGTCTGCTTCGCAAGCTGCTCGGTCGAAGTAGCCGTATTCCGTTCTCCTGTGCTCTCCGGTTTGAGGGCTTGGACTCTTCGTCCAACTTTGGGATGACATCTTTATTCTGGGATATTCCCCCTCATTCTAGCAGTCCTTAGTAGGGACTATAATAGGGCGTGCTAGAATTCCTACAAGGACTGTTAGTCTAAGGAGGAACATCCTAATGTCTATTCCAGATCAGATGCTTCAGATGCTTTAAGCTACACTCACCCTATCCCAAGCCCTGAACCCTGCGGCCCTCGACCCTACCTAGAACAAACACCCCCCCCAAGTACCCCGTAGCATGCCCCAAGCCCCAACGCATCCCCCTACAGTAAGGAGGGCTCAGGGGCAACCAAAACCTCAACCCTACCAAGCTCATGTGCAATTGTTCATGTGCAATTTGGGGTTGAAGAGTTAGGGAGCTCTAAAGCCGAAACTTTTCGGTTTAGGGTGTAGGGTCTAGTTTAGGGTTTGGGGCTGAGGGTTTGGGGCTTCTAAGCAAAGTTGTCCTGTAGCTCCGATTCGGCCCATGCTCGGCAACCGCACGGTGCCAGAGCCTTCACCAGAGCTCATGAGGGTTTAGGGTTTAGAGTTTAGGGCTTAGGGGGATTGAGGGTTTAAAAGTTTGGGGGGTCGCGAGATAGCGCCCCAGGCCCCAATTTAAGGTTTTGGGCTTGGGGTTTAGGTCGAGGGTTTACACCCCCCAAAACACCACATATCCCAACGAAAATAGGGCACCACATCGGCCCACCCCCCCGCCAATAGCAAAGCGCAGAATCGACGACGAGGTCTTGGGACTTGGAAGGATTGAAGGTTTAGGGTTTAGGGATTAGGGATTAGGGTTCAGGGTTTTAGGGCTCCGGAATTCTCAGGCAGGAGATCTGAGTTTAGGGAGCCCACCCGCGCCCCTCCGGCTTTTAACCATTGGATCTATTATTTCTGGGAGCACCTGTACTGGGGTAGGTTTGGGGCCCAAAAATATTTCTATGGCTTTGTTGAGAGATCATATAGGGATTAAGAATAGTAAACATCTACAAAACTATGTTCAAACCTACCCCCGCCCAGCAACTTTAGAGCGCTGGCACCCAGAATCCTGGCCTCAATCCTCTTCAGCTGTCGCAGCAGGAAACAGTGATAGCCAACAGCCCAACAAAAAAACGCAAACAAAACGCAAAGCCAAGTTCTGGTGCCGTATGACTGCTACCCATCTAGGACCTGTCAACAAAAGCAAGGACCATGAACAACAGCTCAACCTTTCTCAGCCTGCACCTGTTAGATCCAATGTCCGCGTCCGCGCCTGTACCCTCCCAAGCCCTGAACCCTAAGCCCTATGACCTAAACCCCAAATGCTAAACCCCAAACCCCACATCCTAAACCCTAAACTCTAAACCCTAAAACCTAAAACCCTAAACCTCGAGGTGTTTCCCCAGGTGTTTCTAACCTAAGGGAACCAGAGCTGGGGGCACCACTGCAAGCCGAAGGATTCCGGGCCGATGGCCTGGCTAGGGTTTAGGGTTTGGGGTTTAGGGTTTGGGGGTTTAGGGCTTAGGGTTTGGGGTTTAGGGTTTGGGGGTTTTAGGGTTTAGGGTTTCGGGTTTAGGACTTACGGAGGGGGAGCGCGGTTTGGGGTTTGGGGTTCAGGGTTTAGGGCTGCAGTGCCCAGACTTGGGTTCTTTAGGCTTTTCGTGTGCAAGGTTTAAGACTGTCTCTTGTTAAATGGTTTGTAGGGTCTTTAAAGTCTTAGAGTCATGAGGGTTTTAGGGCTTCAGGGATTTCAGGGTTCTTGGGCTTTGGGGCCGGTTTTAGGGCTGTTCTCATGTTCAATGGGAAAATGCAGAGCCATCTCTGTGCAAATGGCACTCTCCTTTTTATGAATGCTGTTGATCCTGTCACTCCGAACGCACACCTGAATTTCAACTTACGATTCCGGTATTCCATGACTACGTAAATGTGCACTAGATGATACCCCTAAATCCTAACCCTAAACCCTAAAGAACAAAACCTAATCTACACTCTACCGGCTCCCTTTGAACGCAGGGTTACCGTTAGGACCTCAAGCCCTAAACCCTAAACCCTAAGCCCTAAGCCCTAAACCCAAAACCCAAAACCCTAAACCCTAAACGGTGGGTTTGAGTTTGGTGCCTTGCAGGGCTGTCGGTACTCGCCGCAGAGGTTCTGCGCGTGGGCGCCTGGGTCGCGGAAACATGACGGGAGCCCCTCCCGGGAACCTTCTGGGGTTTAGGGTTTAGGGTTTAGGGTTTAGGGTTTAGGGTTTAGGGTTTAGGGTTTAGGGTTTAGGGTTTAGGGTTTTACGGGGAACCCGACACCTTCATCCTAACACCATATCTTGCACCCGGAGTCCTAAGCCCTAAGCCCTTAACTCCGAATCTTGAATTTTGAAGCCCTCAACTCTAAACCCGTTGGCATCATAAGCCGGGCTGCTGCTAGCTTACAGTTCAAGTTACCAGAATAGCGATGCATGGTAGGTCTGGGGCTTCATGCTCAGAGTTTTCTGTATACCCTAAACCCTAAACGGCCCTAAACCCTGACAAGGTAGTTTATAAGTTCATGAACAGCAACCTGCTGTCGCGTTGAGTGTCGGGCTGAGGTCGGCAGGCATATCGGGAACAGAGTCTCGTAACTTAATCAGGGACCCGACTTTGTCGACATTTTCATAAACCCTAAACCCTAAACCCCTAACAACTGCAAGTTTGCCCAAAGTCCCAAGAGTCCCGACTCAGCACTTGTGCGCAAGACATCTGCGAGTGAGCTGCCGCGAGTTGTGCCAACGCACTGCACGATGCCACCGGGGCGCACCCTAAAAAACCTGAAGCCCAGCCAGGAACCCTAAGCCTGAAACCCTAAACCCTAAACCCTAAAGCCTGAACCCTAAACCCCGAAACTTTGGTTCAAGCTACCGGGCGCTCGCCCGAAAGCCCGCTGAGAACCTGGCAAGACTGCTCCGAGCAGTTCACGGCGGAAGCAACGGGAAGGCTGCCTGCACACAGCATCGGATTGTCCCCAAAAGCAGACCCTGACCTAGACCCCACTCACTCTAAACCCGAAACCCGAAACCCTAAACCCTAAACCCTAAACTCTAAATCCTGAACCCTAAACCCCCCGCTAAGCCCCGTCAGAGACTGGGCTCGCAGTAGGGTTTACCCTAGCCCAAGGGCTCCAAGGAAACAGTTTAGCCTAACCCAAGGGTTTAGGGTTTAGGGTTTAGGGTTTAGGGTTTAGGGTTTAGGGTTTAGGGTTTAGGGTTTAGGGTTTAGGGTTTAGGGTTTAGGACAAGGGCTTCTCAAGTATGCAGGTCCTACATTGTGGTTAGGATGGATAGTCCTTAAAATCCCTCTCAACAATGTTCCTCAATATGACCCTCCTACACCCGAGATAAGGGCAAACATGAAATATCCCAAGTACCTGGGTGGCTTGAGGTCCATAACATGCCTACTTACCTACTTAGGGTGCTTTTTTTGGGCCCCCCCCCCACCTACAAGGTTTGGCGGGTTTAGGGTTTAGGGTTTAGGGTTTAGGGCTTAGGGCTTCGGGTTAGGGTTTAAGGTTTAAGGTTTGGAGGGTTTAGGGCGTTTAGGGTTTAGGGTCTGGGGTTTAGGGATCGGGGTGCCAGTGCTGTTTAAGAGGGCCCGAGCCCCAAATTCCAGCAGGTCGCTCTGCAAGCCGCAGACTTTTGCATGCCACTCTGCACCGAGTCCCAAAGCCGAGTGTAGGGTTTAGGGCTTAGGGCTTAGGGCTTAGGGTTTAGGGTTTAGGGTTTAGGGTTTAGGGTTTAGGGTTCAGGGTTCAGGGTTCAGGTAGACGGTTCAGTGTTGAAGGCTTTCAGGGCTCAGGGTTTTCGGGGTTCAAGCTCTAAACCCTAAACCCTAAACCCTAAACTTTCAGGGCGTTAGGCGAGTGTTTCGAGTACCTGTCCGTGCTGCGCTTCCGTGCAGCGTTGGCTCTCAGGTCTGGTACGCGAGGACTTTGTTGCAGACGGCGGCCACCTTGCATCCCAGCTGAGCTTCTCAAACAAAATACTGCCTACCATTTTTAAAATTATTATTGTTGTTCCTTATTCGGTTTAAGTAATGTTAACCTAGTATTACTAAAGCCCCTAACATTAAAGTACGCCAGGTGTCCCGGCCGCAATAATAAAGCCCTGGAAATAAAGTACGCCAGTCGGGGCTTGTTTTTTTTTGGGGGGGTCCGTTTTTCTTTGTTTGATCCTCTCTGATTCTCTCTGATCCTTTCTGATCCTCTCTGATTCTCTCTGATCCTCTCTAATTCTCTCTAAGGAAAGGAATCCTGAGTGATTCTCTCTGATCCTCTCTAATTCTCTCTAAGGAAAGGAATCCTTATTCAAAGGGGCCTCACTCTATTTGGGGGGGTTTGATTGAAGGGGGGGGGGGGGGGGGGGGGGGGGTTTATTATTACTAGGTCAACATTATTCATAAAAAATGTAACATGATTTTCAACGATGACCCAGAATGCTTGCAGGGCTTCCTCCTAGAGGAAGAGCCTGCAACCCTCTTAGCGGGCCACAGTGCCACTTCACCCCTGAACTTCTCAACGAGAATCCCCGCGTTTTTTTGCCGGAGTTTAAACGAATGTACAGCACACGGGTTCTGAATGTAGGCTCTCAGGTGTAAGGTCATGTAGGCTTTTCTAAGCTTAGGTGTGTCCTGTGGTGGTTAGCTGAAGATAGTTTGCCTTGGGCGTTGTAAGCAGAAACACCGTGGGAAGCTCTGCCGAATCTGAGCATCTTCCCTGTCAGCACTGCCACTTGGGCACAGTTGCACGGTTTAGGGTTTAGGGTTTAGGGTTCAGGGTTTAGGGTTCAGGGTTTAGGGTTTAGGGTTTCGGGTTCAGGGTTCAGGGTTTAGGGGCACGCACACTCTCCCTCTCTCTCACTGCCTGTCCGTCTCTGTCTCTCTCTGTTTGGTTTCCTTCTTTGACATGATCACCAGTAGCCCCTTGCAACTTCTACTCTCTGGCTCTCGGACGACCGCTCCTGAACACGTCAGCTCCCTGTGTGTGAGAAGCCCCGAACCTAACGCCCCAGCCTTTCTGCCTTCAAACTGGAACTCCTCCGACGACAAGAGAGAATTCGAGCATCCCAGCTCAGGCACACTCAAACCCTAAACCCTACACCCTAAACCCTAGACCCCAAACCCCGAACCCTAAACCCCAAACACCAAACCCTAAATCCTAAACCCTAAACCCAAAGAAGGCTTCCAGCCCGAAGCTGTGCACAGCCACAAGCTCCGAACCCTCAACTCCTGCCTCCGGTACAAATTTAAAAAGAGGTCCGAGGAGGCATAGTCTGACGGTACCCAACACTTGCGAAAACGGTTTCGGGTTTAGGGTTTAGGGTTTATGAATAGGGTTTAGGGTTTAGGGAAACCCCCTTGAAGCCCTGATACAGGGCTCTAAGTCCTACCCCCGGCGAATTTCACGTGGCCGAAAAATGCCCTGAGCCCAGCACCATAAGTCCCGGAGCCAAGGCAGTTTGGCTGTTGGAGCCCTGCAAACTCTCAGGGTACCCATAAAACACTACACGAATTTAAACCCTTTCTTAGTATTGCTGAGGACATGACGGTTGGACTTGGATTTACTTAGGGTTCTTCTAAGTTGCCCAGTATTACTCAAGGTTCCTCTAAACTGCAGACTAAACTAGGAGGCGTGTCCCTTCTAAGGGGTAACAGCACCCCCAAACACAACTGGATGTTCTAAAAGGATGCCGCAGGTCTTCGGAGTTTCGTCAGGTCCCAAGGTTGCAGGCTAGGGCTAGGGCTTATGGTATAGGGTATAGGGTTTAGGGTTAGGGCTTCAATCGGACTTCCCTTCGAGTTTTGGGGTGTGCTTCGCCCTATACAACTTGCCAGTTCTGATCCCTACGATAAGAGCAACCTGTAACATTCTGGTGGATGTGAGGAACAGGTGCCCAAAAAACATGGGGGGGGGGGGCGGGGTAGAATACATCCCTTTCTTAAGGAGGCATTGAAAATTCGCAGTTCAAGGCTTTGGGACGCCAGCCTTCCCGTGGTGGTAGAAGGAGAACTCCCTGGGATCGTTGGCGTCGATGGTGCCGTCGAGGTTTGCATCCAGCAGCCTCAATGTAAACCCTAAATGGGGGTTTCCAAAATTGGGGTGCCTTATCAGGGGTCCTGATTTAAAGGGAATCCTACTATTTGGGGGACTATATTAGGGGTTCCTTGTTTTCGTAAACCCCCAAATAGGAGCGTTTACCAGGAGGAATAGCCAGGGTTCTTCAGAGTAGGGGCTGATGGATGTAGGGCTAGTTTGGTGTTGGGTGCTCTCAGGCTCGAGAAGTGTGGCTGAGGTCCGCACGTGAAGAATTTGCCTCCTGACCAGTTCACCTCAAAGGATCAAGCATGCTAGGGAAACTTGTCAGGAATGCAACCCCCTAAACCGTAAACCCTAACCCTAAGCCCTAAACCCTAAACCCCTTTCCTTTCGGATCTGAGGCCGGACCAGCTTTCAAAAGAAGCATCTTCTTGCGGAGCAGGCGCGTAGACTCGGCCATCCTGGCTCAGAGGTTCTTTCGGGTTTCGGGTTTAGGGTTTAGGGCTTCAGGGCTTCAGGGCTTCAGGGTTTCAGGTTTTGGGACATAGACCATCTGAATCTGACAGCACTTGTATATTCTGTAGGGTTTAAGGTTTTAACGTTTATTGTGTTGGTATACTTATATTGTTCCGCGGCCGATTCAATTGAGATGGAGGGGCATGAGGCGCTCTGTCTTTCTGCCACCGCCACAGTTGCTCTCGCTACAGCCCCCGCTCCAACTCCTAGATACCCTAAACCCTAAACCCTAAACCCTCAGCCCTAAGCCCTAAGCCCCAAGTGTTGGGGATTTTTATCCGGGCACTTCTGGGCTTACCCCTGTTAAACCCCCATAACCCCTATAAACCCTCATAAACCCCCATATAAACTCCTAAATGCTCTATAAACCCCCATAAACACGATAAAGCCCTATAAGCCCTATAAACCCCCTGAAAAGCCCCCAAGAGTGCGCGTACCCCAGCGGCTTCGGCCCGAGTCGCTGCGGCCAGGGTCGGCTGGCTCCACATGCTTGGGCAGCAGACTTCCGCTGGAGTGTTGCCTTCGGGTCTCTTTGCTTGATTTGATATATGTGTCTATATATTTATCTTTATTTAGGTCTTTATTATCTAACCTACTATTGTTATTATTATTGTTCTTATTTATTCATTTCATGGTCATTCTTTCTCTTTTTTTTTTGGGGGGGGGGTGTTGGGGTTTAGGCTTCGAATCAAGGAGCTACTGGACCCTAAACAACGGGCTGAGTGTGCCAGCTGGGGTGGTAGGAGTTTGGGATGAGTTTTGGGAGTTTAGTTGAGCTCGCAGGGTTTAGGGTTCCATTACTCTAAACACCAAGCTCTGAATCCTTTAACCCTAAACCCTTTAACCCTAAAGAGCCCTAAACCCAAAATCTTTTAAGGCCCTAAAATGCCCTAGAACCTCAACCCGACGAAGACCGAAAGCCGCGGAGCCCAGAACCCGCCCTAAGCGCTGGATCGCCGAACTCAGTCACACTGCCCGAACAACAGATTTTAGGGCTTAGGGTCTAGGGGTTAGAGGCTTTAGAGGCTTTAGAGGGTTTAGAGGGTTTGGAGGGTTTAGAGGGTTTAGAGGCTTTAGAGGCTTTAGAGGGTTTAGAGGGTTTAGAGGGTTTAGAGGGTTTAGAGGGTTTAGAGGGTTTAGAGGGTTTAGGGTTTTTAGGGCTTTCTTCTATCAAGCGGCCAGCGCAGGACAGGGAGTACTCCTCAGAGCAGGGGCTTGTGGCTTAGGGGCTTGGGGAGGTATATGAGAATTCTTTGAAACCCTAAACCCCAAACCCCAAATTCCAATCACCGGAACCGCGGGATGTTCCCCCTTTGTTCTAACAGTCCTGAATAGGGATTGTAAAAGGGGGTACTATAATCCCTATTAAGGACTGCTAGTATAAGGGGGAACATCCCAACTGGAACCTGCTTATCGGGCTTGCTTGGAATTTAGGCGTAGGGGTGTAGGGTTTTTTCTGGGTTTGTGGGCCAAGAAAGCAAAACAAACGTAGAAATATTCAGGCAATCTCACAAGAACGAGCCCGTGCTTGCACCTTAACATTTCTGCGCCCGAAAACGGCAAAAGCCCCACTGCCACCCCTCCCCCTCCCCGGCCCCCCCCCCCCACCCCCCCCGCCCCGCCCCACCCCCCCCGCCCCCCCGCCCCACCCCCCCCGCCCCCCCAGCCCCCCCGACACAAATGCCTGAAAGCGCTGAACCCCGAAAACCGCACACCCTGAACCCTGAAAGCCCTCAACACTGAACCGCACACCCTAAACCCTAAACCCTAAAACCCTTCTGTCAAACTCGGGGCTGCAAAGGAGGCCTGCGGCTTGCAGGGCCAACCAGGCAGAAACCCTAACTTTTCGGGCCCGAAACCTCAAGAAGATCGAACTAAATTCTAATAACCTGAATAAACCTAATGACCCTTCTGAACCACCCTAAACTGACCCTTCTACACCATTCTAAATCCTAAACCTTAACTCCTAAACCCTAATAACCCCGCAAACCCCAAACCCCAAACCCTAAACCCTACTCACCCTAAACCCTACCAACCTAACCGTCGGCCCAGGAGCGGGAGCCGTGAAGGTCCACAGCGTTTGCCCCGTTTCGGCATCTAAGGCCTCGGACAGGATCTGCTAGGCGTTGGGATCAACCCAGGAAATACAAGGTGACCCTTTTTTGTTTAGGGTTAGGGTTTGGGGTTTGGGGTTTGGGGTTTGGGGTTTGGGGTTTAGGGGGGGAACCTACAGCCTACTAGTAGGGCTCCAGGGTTTCGGCCTTACGGTAGGGCTGAGGGGTCTCTAGGTTCCAGGGTCTGGGTTCTTGAGGCTGCTCTAAGCCCAAAAATCCTAAACCTCGGGCGGGTGGGTCGTTAACACGCGGTTTCGATTTCGGGGCTTTTGGTTTAGGGGTTGAGGATCTAGGGCTCAGGGTTCAGGGGATAGGATTGAGGGCTTCGGACTTTCGTTTTATCAAACCGAAGCCGGACAAACACTAACAACTTCCCCCAACAGCCCCCTGCATTACACCCTGGGTTTCGGGAGCTTCAGGTTTGTAAGGCCTAAGGGTTAAGGCTTAAGGGTTTAGGGCTACTTCCCCTAAACCCTAAACCCTCAACCCTAACCCTAAACCCTAAACCCTATAAGGTCTAAGGGTTTAGGGCTACTCCCCCCCGCACCCTGGGGCGCCCCGCAAAGAGCTTGGCCCTCTTGGTCGGGCCAATGACGGGCTCCGGGAGGCATTCCCTGGCCATCGTTCTTGCACCGGTTTAGGGTTTAGGGTTTAGGGTTTGGGGCTTGGGGTTTGGGGCTTAGGGTTTTGGGGCCCGCACGACCCTCTGTGAAATTCGTAAACATGACCCTCTTAAACCCCTAAACCCTAAACCCTAAACCCTAAACCCTAAACCCTAAACCCTAAACCCTAAACTGGCCCTAAACCCTAAAGGGCTGCCGGATCAAAAAAAAAATAGAAAAGGATCAAAAAGAAAATAAACTTCGAACGTTCGAGTACTAAAACTCGATTTTTGGTACGTTTTCGGAACCCGATCGAGGACCCTCTCACACGAAACGCGTGTCGAGGCGCTAAACCTCGAGTTTTGGAAAGGTTTTCCGGGCACGATTGACGACCCTCCCTCTCACACGAAACGCATCTCGAGGCGCCAAAACTCGAGTTTTGGGACGTTTTCGGAGCACGATCGACAACCCCCTCACACGAAACGCATCTCGAGGCGCTTAAACTCGAGTTTTGGTATGTTGCTCGCGACGCGATCGACCAATATATTATGCATCTCTATATTTATTATTTATTTATATTCATGTTAATCTTCAACATATCATGTACGATATAATACAATATATTATATTATCAAGGAATATATAATATAATATTTTTAAAAAAATATTTAAACATATGATATAAGATACATTATGAATAATATAATACAATAACATAGAATACACTATAATGTAATATAATTTAAGATAATAGTTTATGATATAATATCATATAATATAAACTATTTCTTTTATAATACATAACATATAATATATAATATTTAATATTTAATGTCTAATGTCTATATATTATCTAACATATATATATACTGTATATAATAAGATATATATATATAGATATAATACATGATATTAAATATCTAAGACCTAATTTTAAAATATCTAATACATAATAATGGTAGTATATAATAAATAACATATAAAATATAGTATACAATATATAATATATCAGTAGTAGTAGTAGTAGTAGTACTAATAGTAATAATAGTTGTTGCTGTAGTAGTAGTAGTAGTAGTAGTAGTAGTAGTAGTAGTAGTAGTAGTAGTAGTAGTAGTAGTAGTAGTAGTAGTAGTAGTAGTAGTAGTAGTAGTAGTAGTAGTAGTAGTAGTAGTAGTAGTAGTAGTAGTAGTAGTAGTAGTAGTAGTAGTAGTAGTAGTAGTAGTAGTAGTAGTAGTAGTAGTAGTAGTAGTAGTAGTAGTAGTAGTAGTAGTAGTAGTAGTAGTAGTAGTAGTAGTAGTAGTAGTAGTAGTAGTAGTAGTAGTAGTTGTAGTAGTAGTAGTAGTAGTAGTAGTAGTAGTAGTAGTAGTAGTAGTAGTAGTAGTAGTAGTAGTAGTAGTAGAAGACCCCCAGTTGCAAACACAATGCTCGCATCATGGGTCTCGAAAAGACGTATGCTTTGAAGCAAGCTTGCGCGATTTGAAAAAGCGGGGTCTGGGGGGGGCGCAGCCCCCCCCCCCCAACACGCAAACACAATGCTCGCGTCATTAGTTTCGAAAAAAAACGCTTATTTTTCGAAGCAAGCTTGCGCGACTTAAAAAGCGGGGGGGTTGGGGGGGGCGCAGCCCCCCCCATTTGCAAACACAATCCTCGCATCATGGCTTTCGACACACGCGTATGCGTTGAAGCAAGCGGTTGCGACTTAAAAAAGAAGCCAAGAAGCCAAGAAGCCAAAAAGCTAAAAGCCGAGGAGAGCCAGGAAGCCAAGAAGCCAAGAAGGCAACAAGCCAAGAAGCCGGGAAGCCAAGAGTTCCACTCGGAAAACGTGCCAAAACTCAGGGTTTTAGCGCCTCGAGATGCGTGTCGTGTGAGAGGGTCGTCCATCGTGCTCTGAGAACGTACCAAAACTCGAGTTTTTGAACCTCGAGACGCGTTTCGTGTGAGAGGGTCGTCGATCGCGGCCTTATTTTTTTTTTGATCCTTTTTTTATTTTCTTTTTGATCCTTTTTTATTTTCTTTTTGATCCTTTTTTATTTTTTTTGATCCCTATCCCAAGCAAAGCAACGGTTCCTGACCATTGGGCTACTGCCGTAAAAACCTAAACCGTGGCGCCTAGCAGGTTTTGATAAATGTTACAGGGCCCATGGAGCTTCCGGCTTTTTTGTCGAAGCAGTCTTCAGAGATTAGCCCTCACAGAACTTCACCAAACTCCAAGAACCCTATATACCAGAAGAAAACCAAAGCAACCCGAAACCCGTCCGAGCTGCGGGTTGTTGCCCACGCCGACGATGACGGCGGTGCGGTTCTTGGCCCCCATCGGTCCAACAGCAGGGGCAGCATTGATGCCTGCCCAGCTGGGGAAGAGGCTGCTTAAGGCAACCCCTAAACCCTAAACGGCTAAAGCAGGGCTAGGGTTTAAGTTAAGGGTATGAAGATGCAAGTTCGGCCTTTGCTGGCTAGACACTGCCTCAGAAATGCCGGCAGAACTCTGAATCTGGGATGCTAAGCAGTTTCCTAGCTTGTGAACACTCTCCCCCCCCCCCGACCCCCCCTGCGCCTTCTGGAAAGGACTTGGACCAAACAACATCGCCAAACTTCAGGTCGTGGCAGCGTAGCACGCCTTCGAAATCCCCGCGAGTTTCTTGGCTTAGGAGTAGGGTTTAGGGTTTCGGGTTTAGGCTTTAGGGTCTATAGGGTTTAGTGTTTAGGGCTTCAGGGTTTAAGGGCTTTGAGTTCAAAAAGCACAACATGCTTGCACGTGCGTGGGTGATGGGGGACAAAGACTTCCCCATGGTTTCTCGCAAGCGTCCAGAAGTTGTCGGGTCCTTAAGGCAGGGGGGCTCGTGGGGGTATCTTACGGTAGCTACATGGTCCCTTAGTGTGGGCCCTTTACAAGGGGACCCCTTAGAAACCCTTATATAGGGAGGCAAGGCACCACCTTAAGGGCCAATGAAACTACCCTTGCACATGACAGAGAGGCATCCAGGAACTGTAGGGAAGCTTAGGGACCCTTAAAAAGTAGTGGGATGTAAGAACCTTGGGTTGCTGCACATCCCTCATCCCCCCCCCCCCCCCCCCCCCTTCCCCCCCCCCCCCTCCCTTAAGAACCCCGAAAAAATGGTGCTGGGGGGACCTTAGGGAAGCTCGGGTTCGCCTGGTTTGCGTATTTTGGGGCTTCGTGCTTAGGATTTTGGAGTTTAGGGCTTAGGGTTTAGGATTCTTGGGGTTTAGGGCTTGGGGATTTAGATTTTTGGGGTTTGCAGTTACAGCCGACCCTTTGAAAAACACAAACGCGCCTGCCGAATGACCCCCCTGTCAGGCCGCGGGTCAGGCCCCAAACAGCAAAACCCCATGAAAACCCTAACCGAACCCCTACACCCTCCAAAAAAGCTTTGAGGGGAACAGCCTTAAAACCCAAAGGTCTAAACCCTAACAACCCCAAAGCATATAAACCCTACAGAAACCCTAAACCCTAAGCCCTAAGCCCGAAACCCTAAACCTAAATCCTCAACCCTAAACCCTAAACCCTAACTAAACCCCTCCAACACTGCGCCCCGCCTTGGGTCCCCGAGCCGCCTTTCTCGCCGACGTTGAAGGCGTTGTAGAGGCGGCTGTCAGGGCCAACCTGGGTGTTTAGGGTTTAGGGTTTAGGGCTTCGGGCTGTTAGGGTTGTTAGGGTTGATCGGGTTGACAGGGCTCAGGTTTCTAAGGTTGATTGGGCTTTGAGGGCTGACGTAGGGTCTGCAGAGTTCATGAGAGCTTTAGAGGCTTTGGCCAGGTTCTGATGAGGATTCACTCAGGGATTCATGAGAGGGTTCCGAAATTGGGTGTACCTTCTTGGGGTCTTTTTTATAAGGGATCCTACTACTTGGGGTTGATATTAGGGGCCACCCCATCTTCGGAAACCCCCATGAGGGTTAATTTCGGGCTTCTAGCGGTTTAGGACCGACCCTGGGTTTGGGCACGCTATGCCCTAAGACCTAAACCCTAATTAAACCCTCAACCCCTAGTCCCTACACCCCCAAACTTCCCTAAGCCCCTCAACGCAAAATGGTGAGTGTTAGACTCTTGGGACGATGCAAGTGCTCCTGTCACAAGGAATTCAAAGCGGCAAGTCGTGCGAACAAGGTGAGCCCCTAGCTCCGCAAGCTTAACCCTAAACCCCTAAAGCCTAAACCCGAAACCCTAACCCTGAACCCTAAACCCTAATTCCACCTTGAACGCTGAACCGGCAACTTGGAATCTGAAAAAGCTCTCCACGCTCAGCTTAAGCTTCAGCGTCAAGGCCTTGCGCCTCAAGACGTCCTAAACTCTAAACCCTAAATCCTAAACCCCGAAACCCCTCAACCCCTCAACCCCCAAACCCTAAACCTCTAAACCCTAAACCCTAAGCCCCTCAACCCCAACCCCTGCCGTCTTGAAACTCTGAGCCGGCAACTACGGACGTGGCTGTGGAGAAGGTGGCCTCCTCGCTGCCCGGATGGTGCCAAACCTCAACAAAAGGGGCTTGAGGCTCTTTAGGGTTTAGGGTTTAGGGTTTAGGGTTTAGGGTTTAGGGTTTAGGGTTTAGGGTGTAGGGTGTAGGTTTAAGGTTTAGGGTTTGAGTGCTTTACGGTTTTACCCCAAGACCTCAACTCTATAAACCTTAACCCCTAAACCCCAAATCCTCTGAGGCTCGTGGGGGCTGAAGCCCTGTGGGTGTTAAAAGGGGTTTACAACTTGAATGTTTAAGGTTCAAGGTGCTGACGTCCAGGCTTAGGGACGCAGAGGTTTTGCGGCGAAAGGGAGCTCGGATGACGACTTGCCCTGATAGCTAGAACCTAGCTGAGCAAAGGCCAAAGTGTGACAGTTTGTTCTTTGTGAAAAGCAGCCCTCGAGCCGACTTAGGCGAATCCTTGTGTAGGATGGCCCTGCAAAGCCCCCTGAGCAATGTTCTTAAAATCTGGCCCTCTTGAACCAAATAAGGAAGACTAGACCCGGGAGTAACCTAGGAATAAGGAGGGTACCTTTTTTGGTTTTAAGGGGATTAGAAGGGAACCCCAACCCTAAAAACAAGGAAAAAAGGCCTACTCCCGGTCCTAGTTGGGGTGCCAATTTATGGGGTGGGCTGTCTATGCGCCCTCTGAATATCCTTTGCGGGGCAGCCGCGCTTCTGCGAGGCAGCGGGCGGTTCTGCGAACTTTTCCACAAGGCAATTGTAGTCTTCCCTATAGATTCTGCGTGGCTATGCGGGGCTCGTCGGGTTCTGCGGGGGTGTCATGGGGTGTCTGTAGTTCTGCGGGGGTCATTCAGGGGGTCGGGTAGGGCGGCCCACCCCATGAATTAGCACCCGACTAGTAGGGATCCTTAATAATCATAATGAATACCGCTTAAATACCCCTTAACTAAGGAATACACCTTAAATCATATAGGGAATCCTAGCTTATGCGCGAAAGGCCCCCGCAGCACCACCTGTCTTCACACGTCTGGGCCGCGAACCTCCTGCCCGTCCTGGCGACAAAGTTGGGGCAAGATGGGGCGAGATCGACCAAGCAGTGACATCACGGTTTAGGGTTTAGGGTTTAGGGTTTAGGGTTTAGGGTTTACCACCTCAACCCCTGTAGCACATCGAGCCGGTTGCTAAACCCAAAACCCTAAATACTACCCCCGTGGATCCTCTTCAGAGATGGCGTACACTGCGCCGGCCAGATCTGTGAAGTAGACAATGCCGTCGACGACGCTTGGTGCCTCATGGTGGCCATTTCGCATCCACACCCCCTAAACCCTAAACCCTACACCCTAAACCCAAAACCAAAAAAACCCTAAACCCTAAACCCTAAACCCTAAACCCTGTGAAGCTGCTACTATGCACCAGCCCTCCTAAAGCCTGAACTTCCATCAGTATCAGCCAGACAGCAACAAGAGCCGCGAGTGCTCTTTGTACTGGTGGCACCCAAGGTTGAGGGTTTTCGGTTTAGGGTTTAGGGTTTAGGGTTAGTTTAGGTTTAGGGTTTAGGGTTTAGGGTTTAGGGTTTAGGGTTTAGGGTTTAGGGTTTAGGGTTTAGGGTTTAGGGTTTAGGGTTTAGGGTTTAGGGTTTAGGGTTTAGGGTTTAGGGTTTAGGGTTTAGGTGACCCAAGAGTCATCTAGGAAGAAAAAGCGTGCCCTTCTTGTTTCAAGAGCTTTTTACCCCGACGTCTCAGTGATCGCCTCAGCTGTGACTGTGTACACCGCGAGTTCTGAGGGTTTAAGAGGAACTGTGGGGGGGCTGGGATGCCTTGTGAGCCTCCAGACTCCAAACATTAAACTTTTAGGGTTTAGGGTTTAGGGTTTTAACTTTAGAAGAACTGTTGCAGTTCAAAGCCTTTTGCCCGAAACCCTTTGGAGAGTCTGTGCCCGAAACCCTTGGAGAGAGCTGCGCTCTTGAGCCGCTTCTGATTGTTGCTGCAGGCGGCAGGCATTGCAAGATTCATAGGATCAAGAAGGGCACGCTCTTCTCTCGAAACCCCATAAACCTCTTAAACCCAAATAAGCGAAAAGTACATATCCCAAGGGCCTACCCAGGGCATAGCAAGATTCTGCAAGATCAAGGGATTACGAAGCTTCTCTCTGAACCTCCGACAAGGCCCGCGCCAAGTTGTAGCCCTTGCTGCCATAGCGGTTCAAGTTAAAGGTCCACCTGGGTGTAGGGTTTAGGGTTTAGGGTGTAGGGTTTAGGCTGAGTAGGTCGGGAACAGTGAATTTGTTTTTCGGTGATCTTAGGCCGTGTGGTTTAGGGCTATGTTTAGGTAAACACGGGCTTGAGAGTCGGCCCCGGGCGCCTTGATTGAAGGTTTTACATACCCTATCATGCAAAACGAGAACGGGGATGCTACATCCTAGCCTAAGACAGAACACGTCTCCTCACACCTTTTGTCACATGTACCCAACAGAGCCAGCCTGGCTCGGACTGCATGAAGCTACGCGCCTCGATACGTTATCTAACGCTGCACCCGCAAACCCCACGAAATCCCCTAAACCCTAAACCCTAAGCCCTAAACCCTAAACCCTAAACCCTAAACCCTAATGCGCTCCCTAAACCCTAAACCCTGAACCCCAAGATCCCTAAACCCAGAACCCCCAAATCCCAAAAAACCCAAATTCCTAAACCCTAAGACCCCAAAATCCGAAACCCTAAGCCCCAAGATCCCTAAGCCCAAAACCTCAAAAGCCTAAAACCCCAACATCCTTAAGCCCTAAACCCCAAAAATCATAGAATTAACCTCAACCCAAAAACCCTAAACCCTAAACCGCAAACCCCCAAAATCACCCTAAACCCACCCTAAACCCTAAACCCTAAAACCCTAAAACCCAAGCCCAGTGCTCTAAGAGACCTGGGGGCGCCATCCGTCTCGGAAACTGCGCAGAGGCCATGGCTGCCTTCCTAGGCCAAAAAACAGGGGGTTTAGGGTTTAGGGTTTAGGGTTTAAGGTTTAGGGCTTGCTTCTTCCAGCACGTTGAGGGTCTTAAGCTTCGGGCTTCAGAAATTCTTAGGTCTTCGGGTACGGCCGACCGGCTCGATTTGGGGACTTTGGGGATCAACCCGTAGACCCTAAGCCCATGCTGGTAGGTCCAGGGTACTGATTAATCCAATACTAACTGTACTTATAACCCAATTATAACCATATTTGGGCACTTAAGGGGCTTATAAGTGGGTTATAAGTACAGCTATCATTTGTTAGTAAGTACCATGAACCTCCAAGTGTGGGTGCGGAGGGACTACGGCTTGGGGGGCCCTTTGAGGCATTCGATTTCTGTGCGGCCCACGCCCTAAAACAAGCCAACCACCTTATGCAAGTGAAAACCCATGTCTCGTGAAAATCCGCAACAAACTAACAACCGCATATGAAACTTTATGCCTGCGAAAATCGCAACAAATGAAAAGCCTGCAGCAAAGGCGTGTTTCGTGAGACGTTGACTGAGAGGGCGGGGATTAGGGTTTAGGATTTAAGGTGCCCGGCTGAAGGGACTTTTGGGGGCTTAGGGTTTCGGGCTTCGGGTTCAGGGTCTCGGGTTTAGGGTTAGGGTTTAGGGTTTAGGGTTTAGGGTTTAGGGTTTAGGGTTTAGGGTTTAGGGTTTAGGGTTTAGGGTTTAGGGGTTAGGGGTTAGGGGTTAGGGGTTAGGGGTTAGGGTTTAGGGTTTAGGGGTAACCAAGGCGACTTGACTTTTTCGCTCGCTGCGGTCGCAGGTTGGCCCCTGGCCCTAAAGGCACCCTGCACGCGGCCTGGGGTTTAGGGTTTAGGACAATTATGGGGAATTGTGATATCTTATTCTATAGTTTTCTTAGCTAAGCCGCTAAGCCAGGTTCCCTTTGGGGTGGCAGGCGTTCGTGGTGCACGTGGCGCGTGGTGCGTTCGTGGTGCACGTTGTGCGTGCGCGTGCGGTGCTCGCCGCGCATCTTTTAGCCTCCATGGCTATTTCTGAATGAGGCAGCGCCCCCTAAACCATAAACCCTAAACCCTAAACGCTAAACCCTAAGCCCGAAACCCCCCCATAACAGGGACGTCAACCCAGGAGCCGAGCCACTAACACTGACATTGGAATCATTGCCGCCGGAAGGAGGCTGAGGGCGCGCGCTCCGGCATTTTCTACGCCATCGCAACATGGCCCCCAGAGAGGATTAATGCACTCTTCGCGATGTTTGAAGACCAAACCGCTAGCGTCATTGTACAGATCCATGCAAGCCTGCCTGCAGTCAGCCATGGATGCGAGCGGGTAGCATGTCCCCCTCGTCTTTGTCGTTGTTGTCGCTGTCGTCGTTGTCGTCGTTGTCGTCGTTGTCGCTGTCGTCGTTGCCGTAGGTGTTGTTGCCGTAGGTGTTGTTGCCGTAGGTGTTGTTGCCGTAGGGCAGGACTCAACATAGCAGCATGATTTCCATTCACCATCGACTTCCATTAGGCACCGACATTCGGTGGAATTGATCGAGAAATTGTGCTGGCTCCAACCCCAGGCATCATACGTGTACTTGCATGTTTCCGTACATGCAATCGTGAGAGTCAGCGTCTCGCATTTCTCGGTGAGGTTCACTGCACTCATTGAGGAGAATCGAAGGGCGAATGTGATCGGGCCAATCATCGACCAAACCATGGCTCACGCAACGGCTTCCCTAAACCCCCCCAAACTCTGGTGTTTTTGTTCGGACCCCTCGCTACCAGTGGTGACAGAAGAGTGAGAGTGGAAAGGCAGCGGAAGAGGGCTCAACCCTAAACCCTAAACCCTAAACCTTAAACCCTACACCTTGACACCCAAAGTGGCCGCAATGGCCTATATAATGTTGCCCAAGACCTCAAATTGAAGGGTACGTGCGGCAGGGAGTGTGGCTTCGGGTTTAGAGTCTAGAGTCTAGGGTTACAGGGCTTGAGGGCTTGGTAAACCCTAAACCCTAAACCCTAAATGTAACCTGGAGGTCGAGGTTTGCTCCAAAGCCCGTACACAAATCTGACGGGTTCTATTCGTTTGCACTGCTGACTGCTCGTGCAGATTCCTAGTTTGTCAGCCGCACCCTCCAAACAAAGAAGTGCACGCACGTTACCAGGGATCCTTTCGCAGGGGAAATTCAGCCCTAAACCCTAAACCCTAAACCCTAAACCCTACACCCTAAACCCTAAACCCTAAACCCTAAGCCCTAAACCCTAAACCCTGAACCGTTGTTTTTGTTACGGCTCCCCTGGCGATGTCTTTATTGCATGGACCCTCCAAGAGTTGCAAGGAGCCCACCAAAAGCACTACTCATGACGCAGGCCTGCTCAAGAGAGCCCATAATTTGGGATTTGGGGTTTAGGGTTTGGGGTTTAGGGTTTGGGGTTAGGGTTTAGGGTTTAGGGTTTGGGGTTTGGGGTTTGGGGTTTGGGGTTTGGGCTTCCCAAGTTTCCTAAGAGCCAGTAAGCACATGCCAGCTAAGGTCTCGACCATGTTGTCCGGGTCGTCACCGTTGGCCGGGTTGCAGGGGATGAGGATACTGCCTGCGCCATGGCGGATAGTTTTTAGTATTTAGGGTTTAGGGTTCAGAGATAGTCTTTAGTATTTAGGATTTAGGGCCCCTTCGGGCATAAAGGTTTCGGTTGGGTACATGTCTCCCCGAGCAAGGGAACCTACCACAAGAACATGGGTGTGCTGGGGGATTGTGCAGTGGTTAGTGTCATCAAAAACCTCATGCATGCTGGGATACAACCGGCGCATAGAGCCATAGAGCCTAATGGTTGAAGGTTTAGGGTTTAGGGCGTAGACCCCTAAACCCTAAACCCTAAACCCCAAACCCTAAACCCTTCCATCACAATGTCTCGCTTCTTCATCGGCCTTTTCGAGCGACGACGGAGAACCTGGGCTGTGGCAGAGATATAGGTCAGGGTCTCCCGAAGTAGGGGTACCTTTTATAGAGGTCCCTATGGTAAGGGTAATAAGCAAATAAATAAATACATCAAAAATGAAACAAATCAAAAGAATAAGAAATAAGAAAAATATAATTATGTACATATACACACATATTTGTTTGCTTGCTTTGTTTGTTTTTTTGGTTTTTTTGGGGTATTTACTAAGGGGGCTTATTGTTCGTGAAATACCCAGGTAGGGTCTTGGGTTTGGGGTCCATTGGTTCTAGGGCTCGAAGGGTGGGCTGAGGAGAGTTTAGGGTCTATAGGGTTCACGGTTTAGAGCTTAGGGTTCACGGTTTAGAGTTCACTGTTTAGGGTTCGTTTTGGTGGAGCCCTGACAATGAAGCCCTAGCGGGGGTTTATGCTTGAGTGGGTTCTGGTAAACGTTTCAAGGGGCAGGTCTTAATCCCTAAACCCCCTTGGATCGAAATCCCTCTTGTGTGCCATCAAGCCCCAAACCCTAAACCCTAAACCCTAAACCCTAAACTCTCCAAAGTCCCAAGCCTTTGTCTCCAGAGGCTTAGTGGCATCGAGCTCGGGACGGGGTAAAGACTTAGGTAAGATTGCTTCGGGAGGGCTTGCTTGGAGTTTCATGGGTAGCTACAAGTAGGTTCATAAGTACCTTAAGTAAACTACCCATGAACCGCCAAGAACCCCTTCCTCTAAAGGCCAGAAGGGACTCATACTGAAGGGAAGACCATGCTTCTTTTATGAGGTTCCTGGGGAGTGTTTTGAGCCTATATGGGGCTGAAATCAGAAACCCTCATCCGAACTACACCGTTCTAACCTCGACAGCCGAAAGCCCAGTGCCAGTTTGCGGCAGGGTGCGCATCCGTAGAGCAGTGGGTGGCAATCTTCTGCCTCCACCTCCCCAACGAGGCCGACTGTGCTTGTGACTTGGGTTTGGGGTTTGGGGTTTGGGGTTTAGGGTTTAGGGTTTAGGGTTTAGGGTTTAGGGTTTCGGGGGCAAACCTTGAGTGGGCAAACTTTGAGCCCTGAACCCAAAGCCCACTGTGAACCTCTAAGCCCTAAGCCCGAAGCTGAAGCCACAAAGCCCTCGGCCCTGAAAACCCAAAACCCTAAACCCTGAACCCAAAACCCTAAACCCTAAACCAACAAAACTGGGGCATAGGACTTGTCACAGGGTGGGTTTAGGGTTTAGGGTTTGGGGTTTAGGGTTGAGGGTTTAGGGGCAAGTACCTAGGGCTAGGGAACCTTAGAGAAGCTTCGGGAGACTTACGGAGTAGTGGGGTATTAGGGAACCTGGGGTTACATACCCCCCTGGAACCCCGCCCTTAAGGACCCCAGAAACTTGGGATGTAGGGCATCAGCTCCTAAACCTTAAAGCTCCGCAATGCCTTGAAGCCTTAAAAACCCTCAAACCCCTACAGACCTAAACCCCCAAACCCTTCAAACTACAAAGCCCACATGCCCCGAACTCCAAACTCCCAAACTCCCAAACCCTAAACCCTAAACCCTAAACCCTACACCCTAGACTCAAACCCTAAACCCTAAACCCCTAAACCCCGAAACCACTCCAAAGCCCAGAGCCACCTCTCCGAGCCCTCCACGAGGTCGATCGCCCATGCCATGCCGTCTTCCGTACCTCTGGGTTAGGGTTTAGAGTTTAGAGTTTAGGATTTAGGGGTTTCGGGGTTCAGGGGTGTTAGGGTTTTAGGGTTTAGCGCTTCAGGGTCTAGGGTTGAAAGTTCAGGGTGTTAGTTTTTTGCCTTCTTTTCTGTTTTTTTTGGGGGGGGGGAAGAGGGGGTTTGGGTCGCACATTGAGGGTTTGAGGGTCTTAGGGTTCAGGCTTAGGGCTGCAGGGTTTACGACCGCTCGTGGTGTTGGGTTGACACTTTGGGTGCTGAGGGGTGTCGGGGGCAAAGGGCTTATGCGGGAAGGTTGCTCAGCACATGACCTAACTTGAGCAGCAGATGCGTTCGCGCTTTTAGCCGTTGGGTATTTCAGAGGGGAACATAGGGGCAACCCTAAACCTACAGCTTGCATCCAAGCCTAAGCCCTACAAACCCTGTAAAGCCCTAAGCCCTGCAAACCCCATAAAGCCCTAAACCCGACAAAGCTTGTAGCCCTAAACCCTAAACACTAAACCCTGTAAACCCCCAGACCCTCAGCCCCGATAGGCGGTGTCTGGAATAGCGGCCGCGGTGCACACAAAAGCCGTGCCGTCCAAGAGGGCCATGTTACCTGAACCAAGGGCTTGGGGGGGAAGGGGGGGGTTTAGGGTTTAGGATTTAGGGTTTAGGGTGTAGGGTGTAGGGTTTAGGGTTTAGGGAGAGCTTCGGGTACAGGGGCCTGGGCTGGCGGCTTAAGGTTTTGTAGCACATGAGGTTCCGAACGTGACGGTTGAGGGTTAGGGGCCCCTTTCTGTGGGGTTTGCTTACGCAGACTCCAGCTTGAAAAGGCGAGGCCGGTTTTTGGAAACTCCCGCATGGATGAGAGGGGCATGGTATCATGTCTGTGTTTTTGCATATATGGGGAGGAACCTACCCTAAACCCCAAAGACCCCAAAGACCCCAAGCCAAAGGCCCCAAAGCCCATCTAGGCCTGAAAGCCTAAAGCCGCTTCACCTTGAGCCTGTTCCAAAAAAGCCCTAAGCTAAGCCCTCAAGCCAGGAAAGCCGAAACTATACCCTGTAGACCCTCTAAGCCCTCTGTAAACCCCTTAAACCTTGCAAACGCTATGAACCCTACACCAAACTGAACCCTAAACCCTAAACCCTAAACCCTAAAGCCTAAAGCTCTTGCGCCTGGGTTCTGCGGGTCCTCGGAGTTCAGGTCAAAGGACCACCGCAGGTCCCCATCCTCGCAAGTGTTTCCGGAGACTCAGTGGGTGTAGGGTTTAGGGTTTAGGATTTATAGGGTGTAGGGTTGAGGGTTGAGGGTTTCGGGTTTAGGCTGACGTAGGCAGGGGGCTTGCTGAACTGGGCCTTTCATTGAGGTCTCGAGACAGATGATCTCACATAGTACCAAATCTCGGGGTGAATGGAGGAAGCAGAGCTCCAGCCTTACGGAAAGAGCCGTCGAATTAACCTAAACCCTACACCCTAAACCCTCAAGGCGACAGGAAGACCTCCCCCACGCAAAAAAGCAGCGGGAAACCCCTTAAACCCCTAAAACCCTAAACCCCAAACGCTTCTCTAGGGGATCCGAAGTATGGGCCCCTAATTTGGGTCCCCTGCTAAATAACCTTTATATACTTACTGGCCCAAAAATCAAGGAAATAAAAGTTGAAACTTTCAGAATAAACTAACTTATAAGAAGCCAAAAGTTGAAAAGTTGGGTTTTGAGCCAGTAAGGATACACTATACATAGTGAGGGCGCATACTTCGAATCCCTTTTCCCTTTAAACAAAGGTAAGGGGCCACACTCAGGGCCCGGGGTTCAAACCCTAAACCCTAAACCCTAAACCCTAAACCCTAAGCCCTAAACCCTAAACCCTAAACGCTTCTTATGATCTGCGAAGTGCCAGGCAAGCCCGTGACCGGCAGTCCTTCGTGAGCGAGAAGATCCACCCGGATGTGCTTTGAATGTACCTGAGTGGGGTTTAGGGATTAGGCTTTTAGGGTTTAGGGGTTGGGGGTTTAGGGTGCTAGGTTTTAGGCTTAGGGCATTCGGGCGCCATCTCAAAACTCAGGGCTGTGAATCCCGCAACTGTTAGCCCGCAATGCAACAAGACCCTCAAATCTCTGTCGGTTTGGGGGATGTACCTAATCCCCTAATCCCGAAACCCTCAACCAAACCTAACCCTAAAACCCTAAACCCCAAACCCCCTGAACCCGTAAACCCTCCACCCTAAACCATCCAAGAACAGGGCGTTTCAGGGCCCACCTCTGAGAAGAATCCTTTGGGGCGCCAGGCGGCACGTTGAGATCGGCGTCGATCAACGGCGAGCCATGGAAGACCCTCCTCGTGGCCGTCCGAAGGCCCTTGGGCTGAACCTCCCCACCGACGGCTTTTTCGGAGGGATATCTGGGAGGGCGTAGAATAAACACATAGAGAGTAACAAAAACATATGTGTAGATGTGCATATATATGTATATATATATATATATATATATTTATTTATATTCAAAATTGTTTATGTGTGTTAGATGTACATATCTGTATTTGGCTATACAACAATGGTTATATGTTTCTATTTGTATGGATGGGTAGATAGATAGACCTAGGGCTTTGAAAGGCTTTGATAGCGCTTATGGCTTTTGTTGGCAGAGTTTGCTGTGATTCCAGCATTGAGTGT